CTTATTACTGAACCTGCAAACTAATCTCTCACACCTTTCGAAATTTCCGATTTGGGATTTCCTCATTTGAATCATTCGCACAGGTAAAGGCGTTGGCTAGAAAATCGGAAATTAAATAGACACACACAGATAAGGGCGAGTTTAGACGTGCAAAGCGAACAAGAACATAGAACACTGACGGACAAAAGATTTGTTTGACATTCGTCACTTTCAACTAATCTTTCACAACTCTCGAAATTTTCGATTTGGGATTGAGACTGGTTTAGGCGCTAAATAAGAAACTTAGATAGACATGTATAGATAAGGGTGAGTTTATACGTGCAGAGCGAACAAGAACAAGGAACACTGATGGACAAAGGACTTGATTCATGTTCGTGACTTTCAACTAGTCTCTCACACCTTTCGAAATTTCAGATTTGGGATTTCCTCATTTGAACCATTGACTAGTGTAGGCACTGGCTAGAAAATAGGAACTTTAGATAGACATATAGATAAGAGTGAGTTTAGACATGCAAAGCGAGCAGGAACATAGAACACTGGTGGACAAAAGACTTGATTCACGTTCGTGAGTTTTTCTAGTTTCTCATATCTTTCGAAATTTCCGAACCATTCGTACAGGTAAAGGCGTTGGCTAGAAAATCGGAAATTTAGATAGACACATACAGATAAGGGCGAGTTTAGACGTGCAAAGCGAACAAGAACATAGAACACTGACGGACAAAAGATTTGTTTGACATTCGTCACTTTCAACTAATCTTTCACAACTCTCGAAATTTTCGATTTGGGATTGAGACTGGTTTAGGCGCTAAATAAGAAACTTAGATAGACATGTATAGATAAGGGTGAGTTTATACGTGCAGAGCGAACAAGAACAAGGAACACTGATGGACAAAGGACTTGATTCATGTTCGTGACTTTCAACTAGTCTCTCACACCTTTCGAAATTTCAGATTTGGGATTTCCTCATTTGAACCATTGACTAGTGTAGGCACTGGCTAGAAAATAGGAACTTTAGATAGACATATAGATAAGAGTGAGTTTAGACATGCAAAGCGAGCAGGAACATAGAACACTGGTGGACAAAAGACTTGATTCACGTTCGTGAGTTTTTCTAGTTTCTCATATCTTTCGAAATTTCCGATTTCGGTTTTCGTCATTTGAACTATTGAGACTGGTACAGGCGCTGCGTAGAAAATCAGAAATTTAGATAGACATATGTATATAAGGGTGAGTTTAAACGTTCAAAGCAAGCAAGAACGTAGAACACTGACGGACAAAAGACTTGATTCTCGTTCGTGACTTTCAAATAATCTTTTGCATCTTTCGAAATTTCCGATTCGGGATTTTCCTATTTGAACTATCGAGACAGGTATAGGCTTGATTGAAAAATCGGAATTTTATATAGATAAGGGTGGGTTAAATCGTTCGAAGCGATCGAGAACACAGAACATTGTCGAACTTGATTTGCGTTCGTGATTTCTATAAAAAGTGGATAAGAGGACGTGATAGAAATCAGTAAAAGGTGAAATAGGTTGATAGGACATGAAGGCCTAGTTAGAAACATATAAGAAACAAATACAGGATTTAAGAGGGGAAGAACTAGAACTAGATTCGATTACTATTCGGTATTAGCTAGAGATGCAGCTTTAATTTTCAAAATGCGAAGATATAGGAAAAAATTCTTCGCTCACATAAAATAACTAAAGCTGAAGCAGCTTTAAGTAGAACAAATTTATATCATACGTTATTGCACTTAATTCGTTAATACGTGTAATCAGCATTAACAATACGCAGTAACAATCAGCTATCAAGTTCAGCAGTCTGTACTATGAATACCCTAGGCATCCCTTATTAGACCGTCAGGAAGAAGAAAAAATCTTCCCACGCCATCAGCTCCCACCCCATCCTTGCTTATACGAACATTCATAGACGAATTTAACTCGGTGGAGATACTTTTTTTCAAATGAATGGTTAAACCGTCACTCCGCGACCATGATAGTTACCGAGGGGGCGAATAAATTGAACATGAGTGTTGTGAATAACCCTTGACATGATCGCCTTTCTTAGTCTAGTATTCTGGCATTGGAGGGTTGACGCAAACGATCAACCGTCAGTATCGTCTTTTGAGAATTTCCGGTTTCTTATTCTTTGAGGTAACATTTTCTCACCGGGAAAGAACCTAAAACTGGGACAGGAATATTGAATGAAAGTACTGCAAAATTATTGAAAGATTACATTTACGTCATGTCCTACAATACATATGTAGGTATAAGGCGTGCCACAAAAGAGAACGGAGACTGTTTGTGGAACAGTAATTAATTATTAATTTGGAACCCCGTTCTTACACATATGCCTACTAAAAGTCAGTATATACACAATAAGAAATTACAAAATAATATTGAACGTTAACCTTGAAACGATAAACTATTGCTAAAGTTTCGAGAATTCTTTTTTGATGCTGTCACAATAAGATAATGGTAAGAAATAAGCTAGAACTTTGTGATTGGCACCAGAATAATTTATATTTTATTAATTATATCTCGGTACGTACATAGAGTGCGCGAAATGTTTCAAGAGTGCGTTAGTGCAAATATGTGAACGGGCGTTACGTAATGTGAAACAAGTGTGCCGTGGCCGAGCAATTGTTTATACAGACACATGCGTTATGAAATAAATTTTACAGTAAGCTCGGTCGTTGGTACACACCAAAATGATATTTACACAACTTTTGCGAAATAAGATAATCGGAGTTTAAAAATCAATAGATCGCACGCACTGAGAAGTTTTTCTGTTAATCGATGGCGATGTGTTGCAAACGATAATTAAAAATGTTGGCAAGTTATGTGTATTTACAGTAAATTACCCTTAACTTATTTATTTGAGGGGATATCGTCAAACAGATTGCACTGCCAGATTCTGCAGTATTTTCTACCCCTGATACATGTAGCCGAGGGTGTCAAATGGATTGTGTTTTAACCGAAAATTTAGATGCGCTCTTTTAAAACTGTACATTTTCATGTATTTTTACTGTAAATTACCCTTAACTTACTTATTTGAGGAGATATCGTCAAACAGATTACACTGTCAGATTCTGCAGTATTTTCTACCCCTGATACATGCAGCCGAGGGTGTAAAATGGATTATTTTTTGGTCAAAAATTTAGATGCGCTTTTTTAAAACTGTAAATTTTCATGTATTTTTACTGTAAATTACCCTTAACATATTTATTTGAGGAGATATCGTCAAACAGATTACATTGTCAGATTCTACAGCATTTTCTACCCCTGATACATGTAGTCGAGGGTGTCAAATACATTGTGTTTTAGCCGAAAATTTAGATGCGCTCTTTTAAAACTGTACATTTTCATGTATTTTTACTGTAAATTACCCTTAACTTATTTATTTGAGGAGATATCGTCAAACAGATTACATTGTCAGATTCTGCAGCATTTTCTACCCCTGATACATGTAGTCGAGGGTGTCAAATGGATTTTGTTTTAGTCAAAAAGTTAGATGCGCTCTTTTAAAACTGTACATTTTCATGTATTTTTACTGTAAATTACTCTTAACTTATTTATTTGAGGAGATATCGTCAAACAGATTGCACTGTCAGGTTCTTCTATGTTCACGAATTCTATCATTTTCAGGCGGTCATAGCACAAAAAAAATAAGAAATAAGTAACTGATTTCACACTGTCATTTATCATAACGTAATTTTCTTTATTTCAACATCCCGTATATAAAATATTTCTTGATACTTGGTTTTGTAACTATTACCACATAAAACCGTATTTTTTAATAGATGTGTTTTAAAATATCTCAAAAAATTTACGTTTACTTTTAATCTCCCGTGTTCAAAATTGGATTAATTTGTGTTTTCTATTCAGTTTTAAAAATTGTATTCACAAATAATAGGTACATTAATTGCGATAACTTCATGCAATAAATTATTATTAATGGAGAAACAGAACAATAATTGTTAATAAACTTTCTATTATGAGTTGCGCACCTTAGATTTTTGTGTGGGAATTCCCTAACCTTGTGGTATAAATCGAGGTAAAACTTTGCGATTCTATCTATGAAACACTAGACGAAAATAAAATGCACCGTGTAAAAGTCAGTTAAATAAGCTAATCGTTTGTTTAACTTAAGGTTAAATTTTGGTGGAATTGGCTGTATCTTATGTTACAATTACAATTTCTTTCAATTAGCGGTGCCTTCGAAATTCATTAGTATTCATTAATTATATTAATTTATTCCGACTAACCGTAGGCAAAGACCTTAATGTGTTTTTGACTGTTTAAAATTTATAAATGTGTACATGCACATAATTTTTAAATCACCTGTGTTTTATCTGAGCTTTTTTAAGCATTACTTAATCCGAACCAATTTGTTGTATTAGGTAAATCTCCAATTTTTCGATAGTTTTTAATTAATTATCAGCTTTTATCACATATACTTTAAATTTCAACGTATTGGCTATCATCAAATCTAACAAAAACAATATGAAAAGTTATTCGGGTACTGTATCAAAAAAAATTAAAAAGCTGTTGAAATTTAAAATTGATATATATATATATGCATATATATTCACCAGGGTCAATTAAGATATAATAAAACAGCCTTAAATATATATTTTTTTCTAATTTTAAACCGCAGAGAAAAGAATCGACTTTGAGTTGGCCTATTCTTGTCTAAAAATTTGAGAAATGCAGGGGTAGTAACATTTTATTTTTCATTTCGTCCGTATCATCGTCTCTGTCCAGCTACCCTGATTCCACTGCTAAAGCGGGTCTTCCGCCATACCCTCCAGCTTTGCACTAAACTGCAGCTCGGAGAAACTCTGTCTAGTAACTTTACTGGCTAATGGACTGAAGCCCACAAGTCTTTTTTTATTAGTAGTTTAAGTAAAAAAAATATTCTTGTTTCTACATTTTTTCGATTTACCCCATAATAATTGAATAACGACTTGGTATGCATGGGGTATTAAAAGAAAAAAATTAGAAAGATGCACAAAATTTTATTTAATTATTCAATCATAAACACAACTATGTCTGCCATTGTATTTAAGTTACAGGGTAAATTAAATTGACAGGTACTAGCGGTAAAAATATTGACCTTACACCTAATTCTCCTTAATTTATTTCAACCGTACTTAAAACTTAGAAATTTAATTAATAAAGTATACATTTATTTTAATTTAAGAAAGACAAAATAAAAAACCAACACGGTAGGAATACAATATCTCGCCATTAATTTAATTTTATTATTATGATATTTCACAGCAGCAAAAACTATAAAATAATAATTACATTTACAATTATTATTTTGCCTATGTGTATAATTAGGAAAAAATAATTAACATCGTTCCACCTTTACGTCAATTTTGTCTTCTTTGTATTTGTTCATTCTAGCTTCGATTTCAGGTCTAAAGTGTCTAATAAGTCCCTGTACAGGCCAAGCTGCTCCATCTGCCAAAGCACAAATAGTGTGCCCTTCTATTTCTTTACTCAGTTCCCATAACATGTCGATTTCCTCTGGTTTTCCTTTTCCTTCCACAAAGCGCCACATTATTTTATTCATCCAATCAACCCCTGTAAAAAAATTATGATACATTAATAATACCATATTTTATAATGTAATTTTATTAAATACTCTACTGTCAATGAGAAAAAGAGAAACCGTTTCGTAATTTGCCAAAAGATAGGATTTAGTTGATAAAATAAGTATAGTAACACTCGATAGTGTGAACATTACATAATGGAAACCCCGCATAACGTGACCGGCATATTAAATATTACTGTAAATCCCCGATATATTTGGTATTTCTCCAGTCATGCTAGCTGGAGATATGTTGAAAACTAAAGACGTGTTACTCCTTAAGAAATCGGTAGCAATTCAAAGATTAAAGTTAAGACAAAGAACCTTAATGTTTGGAGTTAGTTGGAAAAAAGTATAAATGGTCAGAAACTTTCTGTCTGTCCTTTTACTCAAACTCAAATATAATTTCCTTGAATGTAACATTTTTTTACCTTCTCTGCATGGGGTACATTGTCCACATGATTCGTGTTTGTAAAATGTACTCAATCTGGCAATAGCTTTAATGATATCTGTTTGTTTGTTCATGACGATTAAAGCAGCAGTTCCTAAACTTGTTTGAACTGCAACCAGACCATCGAAATCCATTATTGCTTTTTCACAAACACTGTAATGGAAATTTTATTTAAAATTCATCATTAATCAAATGTAGATTAATATCAATTAAAGCCATTAAAACCACAATATTTACGATTTTGGTATAACTGGCGTTGAAGAGCCCCCTGGTATAACACCAAGTAAATTGTCCCAACCTCCAATGATACCTCCGGCATGTTTTTCAATTAATTCCTTCATGGGTACACTCATTTCTTCTTCTACAGTGCAAGGGTTATTAACATGACCAGAAATATTAAATAGTTTAGTGCCAGAGTTTCTTGTTCTTCCAAATGAAGCAAACCAAGCTCCACCTCGACGACAAATAGTCTAAAACAAAGACATTATTAAAATTATTATTGCCTCATAGTGAATTTTGTTGTGATGTTCACTTACTGGCGAAACTGCTATTGTCTCAACATTGTTAACTGTAGTTGGACAACCAAATACACCAACATCTGCAGGGAAAGGTGGTTTGAGTCTGGGTTTTCCCTGTTTACCCTCAATGGACTCAATCAAAGCAGTTTCTTCTCCACAAATGTATGCACCAGCTCCCCTTTGCACAAAGACATCAAAGTCATATCCTGAACAGCATGCATTTCGACCTAAAAACCCAGCTTGATATGCCTACAATGTAAAAGTGTATAGTTAACAGTAGAAATTTGTATCTATTTACAAATATTATATATCTACCTCTGCAATTGCAACCTGTAAGTTTGAAGCCTCATTATAAAATTCACCCCTAATGTAAATATATGCAGCTTTGGCTCCGATTGCCCTGCCAGCTATTAAACAACCTTCCACTAACTTGTGTGGATCATGTCTCATTATCTCCCTATCTTTGCAAGTGCCTGGTTCACCTTCATCAGCATTTACAACTAAATATTTTGGACGACCATCACCTGGTTTGTTCATAAAAGACCACTTCATTCCAGAGGGGAATCCTGCTCCCCCTCTGCCTCGTAGACCTGAGGTTTTGACCTCATCTAAGGAATATCAAACTTAATCCCTATTTTTCTTACAAAAGTATTCATATAACTAACTTATAATCCAGTCAGGTCCCTTGCATAAAATTTCTTTAGTTTTATACCAATCTCCTCGCTTAAGCGCCCCCTTCAATCGCCATTCATGCCTTCCATAAAGGTTAGTAAACACACGATCTTCATCTGATAATTTCCCAAAAGTTGTTTTGGTCTGTGGTGGAGGAGTACCAGGGGGTGGAGGTTTGTTGCAGTAATTTTGTTTATGTAAACTATTTATGGGGACAATAATCCCTGTAACATTCAACAAATTATGTAACCATATTAGTATTATTTTAATAGTGTTTCTATGCATTACCTCCAGAACTTTTTGCTAAATTACTGCATCGAACTATAACACTGGCCATTTTCATAAATAAAATGGATTTTAATTACTTCTGGAAATCCATAAATTAATAAATATTTTATTTTGTTAACATGTCAAGCATGTGTCAAGTTATAGGCATGATAGTATTTTAATAACCAGGGTTGGTTTAAGAGCAGATTGTATGTTATCATGGTAATAGAAAAGAATACATTTATGTTCAATGAATTTTATATTTTACTAATAAAAAGTCTCTGTTTTTATATACATTGCCAGGTTATGAATGAAATAGTATTTATAGTAAATGATTCGATGAATAAAATTGAATACGGTCCTGGCTATTTATTTTACAATCATGAATCGTGACATAACCTACAAAAGTTGACGTTTATAATTTGTAATTAGTACGTTAAAAAGTTGTCTGAATATAACGCAAAATTGTTCTGTAATTCTGCACTCTATCTGGTAAATCGAATAGAAAGTAATTTTTGTGAAAAATGGAAAAATCAGATCCCTCAAACGATGTTGAATCACTTGCTGATATGTTCAAGGAAGGGTTAGACTTGTACACTGAACTTAACAAAACCAACGAACCCTCCAACAGTCCACAGTTTCAGGTATTCTGTATAATCTTTTGTTAAGTAAGTAACAAGCTTCATATTCCTTTCATTGTTTAAGGCAAATCTAAGGAAAGCCATAAGTATTTTAGAAAATGCCACGCGCTTGGTATCATTGAGTGGGATATTCAGTAGAAATGAAGAAGTAGAGGAAGTTGCAACAACTGATTTGCAATATTTTCTTTTACCAGCCCTATTGGGGAGTTTAAACTTGAAATTGACAACAAGAGATCGCAAAGAAGTAGTAGATGTGGCAGAAGTTTATTTCAATGATTTCTTACAAAGATGCACAGATTATGGATTAACCAATTACAAAAAATCTACAGAAAACAGGTCAGCTGACAGTGAGCAAGATAACAGAACTGAATTGGAGAAATTAGCAGAAATGGCAAACACCCGTGCTAATAAAATTCAAAGATTTAATGAGAAAAAAGAACTGCAGTCAAAATTGGAAACACTGAAAGAAAACATGTCCAATGAGAATGTAGATGAAGAAACAAAGAGAAACTATTTTCTGACAATGCTTAAATTATATATTCATGAAGCCATAGATGAACTGCAGAGCATTGACATTGAAAAACCAATTTTAGAACATATGGCCAGTATAAAGAATGATGAAAGGTCTAAACCCAAAAGAATGCCTGTGCAACCTCTTAGACCAGTAATTATTACAAAAGATGAAGTTCAGAAAGCTGTTTTTGGAGCTGGGTACCCTTCTCTACCAACTATGACCGTACAAGAATTTTATGACAAAAGAGTTAGGGAGGGAATTTTTCCAGATCCTAGCAAACAACCAGCAGGTCCTACCTCTTTGCAAGAAGCAAGTCTCGCTGGTATGTCACTTAATGACGAGGGCGATGAAATTGAAAAAGAAAATAAAATTGAAAATGATGATGAAGAAACATTAGCAAGGGCAAGGGCCATGGACGAATTTAAAGACGACCATCGTAGGGGATGGGGTAATCGTATGAATAGGAGTTAAACTGATGATTTTTGTTGTAATAACGCGCAAAAAATGACTAAATATCTAATCGTATTTGTTATTTCTTTATGTTCATAATTCATTTCAATTTTTACATGAACCAGATATAAGATAAATGAACTTTTTTGTCTGTGAAATGTATGTACCATCACAATTTGAAACTACACTTTTTTTTAATTTTCTAATACCTTTTCGATTGCAATGTACTATAAATATTTAAATATGAGTAAGAATGTGTAACAACAAAATTAGTTGTAATTTAACATGTCTCTATGTATTGATAATTAATTGGAAATTGAATAAAATTGTTTAGAATAATCAAATTATGTTTTTAATGTACTATAGTAATATTATCAATTAGGTTATTCCCACAAAGAGAGAATTACGCAGTATCTCGTAAATGATGTGCGACTTTCGCAATTTCTTATTAGGAATAAGGGCCAAATGTCCAAAGAAAAACAAATTATGAAAATCTATCTAGTAGTTTTATTTACTATTATTATTATTATGATATTCTAATCGGGGGTTGCAAACAGACATCCAAGGGATTGCAGTGGCTAAGAAAAAGCTAATTACTTATATAAAGTCTGGTACTAAATGTGCTTATTGACATTGGATAACTTTAGTTTAAGATTTGTAATAAATACCTAAACATTTACTAATTATTAGTAAGGAGGTAATGGTGTTTAGGAGTTTATTTTTTACTTTTTTTAGGGGGTTGCGATGATATAAAAGTTTTCCTTAAGAAATATATATGGGAATAAAGTGCAAAATGGGTTGCCTAGGTGTTATGTTTACGAATACTTTTATTTCGTCCTGATTCGTAGGTCCTGATTTCCTTATAATGAATTTTTATTGCAAAATGAATAATATTTACAATTTTATTTATAACAATTTATTTCTTCTCTTATTTCCTACTTTCCGGCAAACTTTGTTTTCGTTGTCCTTTGTGTAAGGATTTTTATTACTTTATGTACGTAAAACATTTCAAGTAGAATCATTAGTGTATCTTCTTCATTAGAGGGCTTTTACTTACTAATTTTATACAATTAATCTTGATTTCAATCTTACGTAATGCTTTTCGTACTAAATAACATATGTGTACTTAATGGATAACAAAACAATTTAAGCGAAAGGAATTGATTTGAATGAAAAATTTACATTTAAAGAGATATAATGATTTTCGATCACTAAATAATTAATTGATTCGGGACATAAAATCACGGAATTGCCTTTCTTTTTTGCAGAAGTTTGAACTTATGTAATTGAAATAACTGAAACATACGCATACTTACAAACAATTTGAAAAAAAACAGAAATATTATTCGCAATTTTAATTGGTAAAATACGCTTCAGGATTTTGTGCCAAAATCAATTTATTTAAATATAGATTATCGGAATAATGACGCAACAGATAAAAAATATGTTAAACAGTCTATTACAAAATTTTTATCCAATTTTTTCATTTTTTATTTGATTTTATTTCTGTGCTTTTTAGCGTCTGTTTTCAGTTGTCGTCAAAACCTTGTACATTTATAAAATTTGAGCTAATTGGTGAAAAATTAATCATAAGGCAGGAGGAAACTTAAAATAAAACGGTTTAATACAATTAAAATTTAAAATGATGGTTCATTTTTGTTTACATAAGTTATTTTGATTTCGGTCCTAAACATTTTTATAAGTTATTGATCTTGAAACATTTTTATTATCTTGTTCTTGATAAAAATAAAACGCATGGTAAAGACGTTATCGTACGCCCACGATGATAATTTTCTTTGAAAAACACTTTTTGTGTGACCGTATCTACAACAAAATTGAAAGGCAAAAAGCAAAAGTGATCCGAACATGTAGAAAAACCAATTCAAGGAGAATCTCCGAGTGGATGCTGTTTTTTAACCGAAGATGACTGTGGATCCATGAAGCACCGTCAGTTTTCATGCGCTTTGTGATGGTGTATGTTGAGAGAGGGAGAGAACAGTGGAACGAAATAGCAAAAAATTGTGTGAAAGCAGTCCCGAATTCAGACCTTTTACACCGGGGGTAAATCGAAACTTCTTGGGATGGAATAATTTTTTAATATTGTTTATCTAAATCTCATTATCATCGTAGGGTCGTCAGTCTTGAGACTGGTTGGACACGCATCTTCATTCTTTCTTATCTTGAGCTAATCTTCGCATTTCCCTAAAACTAGAATACCTCACATCCTTAACTATTTCTTTATTTATATTCCTCTTAACTCCTGTTTGTACTTCTAATATGTCTCTAATTAGCCCTTCATACATGAGAAGGTGTCCTACCAACCCTTCTCGTCTATTACATATTGAAGTTGAAATAGAAATTAGATCGTACGAAAAACTGGAATAATGAAACAAGAAAAAAAATCACATTTTCTGTTATCTTGAGAGGAAAAATGCGACTAACCTTTATTTTTGATTTTCCGCACTTTTCCACGTCGTTATTTCGATACTACGAAGCTTTTCCTATCTCCACCTCCTTCCTTAGATTTCCCCTGACGTCTCCGTCAGCTAGCTTTGATATACTACTACTAAATGGTCGTTTTGCACCACCATAAACGAATGTATAGGTAATAGTGTTAGATTCGATATTTAATTCCAGTGGGTAAAAAATAAAGCACAATGTTTAAGACGTCCTTAAATTAGCGAATATCTTCCTAGAATGCGTCGATAGCACATTAAGTTTAAGACAAGAACACAACTTGGTGAATGAAATGAAATAAAGGCTTCCATCAAAGACTTAAATTTTGAATTGGAACTTATTAAAAAGATGTTTTATCGCTAAAACTACTTTTCATTTGATCTATCTTTGAATTCGCAAACTTTTTAAGTAGCATCATCGTCGTGCTTGCTGGTGCAATTTTTTTTGTATAATTCTTCGTGGAATAGAAGCTTTTTCAATTAGTTTTGATTTAATTTGCAGTTTTCATTAAAATTAACGCCTTGCGAAGCAAAATTTTCAGTATGGTTCTAAAATGTCAAAATTAATGTAGTTAGAATTAGATTTTCTTTTAGTGGACATGTTTTAAGTTGTAAACTGTACATAGAGCTTTATCTAAAACGCACAGGGTGGGAGAAAACTATGCTTTTCAGGTATAAGAATTTTCTTCTTGGTTACAATCCTAGATTCAACATTGCGTGAAAAAGTACGTGAAATTTAACGATGATTATTGTTGTAGGTTTTACATATTGTTTTAATATCGTCAAAATCATAATGTCGTCACTCTGAAGACTGCCAGAACACGGACTTCCAACTATTCCTTTATTGATCCAAACATTCCACGTCCTTATTACTATTTGGGAACAGTAGTTTAATGTAGGCCTTCCCCTTGATTCCTATTTCTGATTCTAATAAGTCTGTAGTTAATGTTTCATGTCTCAAAAGGTGCTCTACTAGCAACAGGGTCTCATAAATGAAATTTCTAATACTTTATACTGAATCAAAAATAAGATTTTCCTAAATGTCTTACAATACCACTTTCTCTCTCCATTTCCTATCGCTCGTATTACAGCAACTTTATGTCTACACATAAAGTTTTTCTTTTACTATTATTGCACTCATGTTCATCGTTCAAATATAGCGTACTGCTTCGTTATAGGTAAGCTGGTACATTATGGCTACAGTCGTCTGAGTTTACAGATTTTATTTTCAGATTATATCAGTTTCTTCAATCTTACATTCGTGATCGTCATAATTATAATTTTACATTCCGTACTTTACGTACTGAGTAGGAAGCTCTATTTAGGAGTTTAGTTAAAAGATGTGTTTGCTGTTGATGATAACAGATAATGCTTTAAATATTTCGAGTCGATTAAAGTAGAAACCGAGCTCAAATGGGCCCAATTTATCATATAGATGCCCACGAATGACATGGGAGAAATACGTGACCTTAAACTAAACTGTAATTATATCATTGCAATTGTACTTTTGCCACAGTCTCCTACTTTCTATTTTTCTAACACAATGTTAATGTAATCCTTAAGTAGAAATGTAGGTCTTTCAGTTCATTGTTTTTATAAACAATAATGACGCGTTTGTAAAGTTTTGGTAGTCCATCAAGTCATTCGTTTGGACTTGAAGTTACATTCATTTAATTTCAAATAAAGTTTGTCTAAACTTGATTTCCATAATTAATTGATTCTAGTTGTACTTGAGTGAAGTCCATTACCATTGTAAGTAAAACAATAATTAAACTTCCCTAATCTCTTATTCTTTTGACGAGTTTTAGAAGATACACCATAGTTATTAAATCTAATGGATTATAATTCCACTTATATATTGAAGTGATTATAACTAGAGTAAGAAGTGAAGGAATGATGACAACTATTTAATTCTACTACTGTGAATGATCAAATTATCGTCATGATTATCAGCATAAGGTTGTTAGTCCTAAGACTGGTTGGACACGCACCTCCACTCTTTCCTATCCTGAGCTAATCTTCGCATTTTCCTAAAACTAAAACATCCCACATCCTTAACTGTTTGTGAACAGTAATCTAATCCAGGTCTGCCTCTCCATTTCCTTCTAATATGTCTCTAACTAACCTTTCATGTCTGGGAAAGTGTTCTACTATCTTATCTAGCTTATTTCTTATTGACCTCCGTAGTGACCTCTGTTCCCTTACTTCTCATTTCTAAATGATAAGAAAACAGGATCAATAGGATCAAATAGAACTCAACCGCTGAACTTCATTCCTTTGTGTCCATTTAAGCTATAAATACTTAGTGCTACGCTATATAGTGAAATAGAATTAGTATCCGTTAGAGTTAAAATTAGTGCATCTTTGAAGAAGTCTCAAATTGGCGAAACGATCGTCAAGAGAGTAAAAGATTGTGGAAGTCTAATGAGTGTTTTAGATTTTTTTTATCCTTTTAAATAATGTTAAATCAAATGACTATGGAATAACAGAAAATGGAAGCAGAGAAATTGTCTTTCTTTTTCTAAGTTCTCAAAATAAAGTTTTATAGACTTTTTGGTGCTGAAACTACGATAGTATATCTGATATATTCAAATCACAAAAGATGCATATTTTTACTTAAATACAAAACTGAATTATGCATTTATTCATTTTCTCAAAATAATGATGTCAGTATGACTAAAAACTATTAAAATGTATGCGATGGGCAAAAAAAATGGTTTAAGGGATAGTATACCTCAAGTTTCAAATTGTAACTGCAGTAACAGTGTATATAATTGGATCTGATGAAAAAAGAAAATAGATCGTATCAAAAACTGAAATAACAAAACAAGATAACTGAGCGAAAATTTGGCATATTCTATTATCCTGTGAGGTTAAAAGGTGGAAAATTGTAGGGCGTGCTGTACTGACAAAAAATGCGACTAATTCTTATTGTTTTTGATTTTCCGCATGAAGCTTTTCCTACCCCCATCTTCCCCGTTTACGTCTCCACTGTAAAGCTTTTAATAGACCAGTAAGCTTTAATGAATGATACGAGTACTGTTCGCGCTTGTCCGTAACTTTCTTACGTTTGAGTCCACTGTGCGACGCCGTTCCCCTCACTTTCCGGCCCGCGCCGCGACGGTGGGAAAATGCTTGGAAACTGGTTAGTCGCTTTCGATACGTGTTACATAATAAGTGTGCTTGCTGCTCGGATCGGCGTGGCGAAAGCGGTTGTTTATGTATGTAGTTTAACGTGGTGTAGCGTGTTTATATTTTCACATCTCGGCCTGTTACATTTTCCACCGTTGTCGTCGGTGTTATCAGGTGGTTACCGACGCGGCGCGGCGCGGCGCGTCTATTTCTAGATACTTTAGTTTGTGCTTTCGTGAAGTTGGTGTTTCTGTTCTGTTTTTATTTTTGGTTTAACTTTAATTTATGTCCTCAGCAGGAGGCGATCGCGACCCCTCTTTAACATACGGGTAAGTCGATAAATTGACGATGATTACTGCTTGTAAGGCCAAAACGTACAATTTTCTTCTTGTGATTTTTAAACTTTAACTAATGCTAAGAAATACTACATATTTCTAGAAATTTTTATATTTATCTACAATGAGTAACATACATAAATATATTTATATGTACAGAATGAAGTATTTAGCAAATTAAAGTTTTAATTACTTAAGTTTTTAAAATAGAAAATGACTTACAAACTTTTTGTATATTCCTGTTACTCATAATTATAAAAATGTTCATGATAAAAGTATTGCTGCAAACAATTTATAACTGAAATTAATTAATTTAAACAAAGTTGTTAAAAAAACGTTCTGATAAATAATACATGAATAAAATCATTGGCTCCTCTTTATTATTTGTACATTACACCTAACCGAGTGTAGAAAAACAATTTTTCTAGGTACCCGAAGCAATTTTTGATTAGTTTCTTTTTGTTTAAAAAAATTACGTTAATTTAGAAGGTTCTTTTTGGTTTTGCAGCAGTAAAAAATATCGTATTATTCGAGGTAAAATACCATATTATTTTTAGCAAAAGATTATCTCACTATCTTGATGCCTAGTAGATTAAAAACCTTCGCATTTTTATCGTGAAAGCGCGAAAGACTAAAAAGCTGTCGGAGTAAAATATTTTAAACATACAGTGAATAGTATGTAAAAAAGTCTAAAGTGTAGGAAAGAGGTTTTTCAATTGATGGAAATCGGTTATTTTTATATTCAGCAAGAAAAGTAAAGATAAATCTACTTTTCGTTTATTTAATTTCTGTAGGAATTTTTAATACTTCTGGAATTGTTTGTTCAAATATTTGTAGTTATAAGAATTTACATATTGGAGGAAAGGTAGGTGTAGAGGTCTTTATTCAATTATTGCTTGAAACTCAATAAACCGATAAAGCATTCAATGAGTAGAGTATTTGCAAAAGAAAAACAATTGAGTAGTATTAATTAGTTAATCATTAATTAATTATTATTAGGAAATCATTAATTAATATCATAGTATCCTTTCGCATCGTTGGAAATACTTTCAACCTTTGTAATACCCTATTCAGTTCGGAGTAGGTGGTACAGTAAAAATCGGTTATAACGTACCGAAACGGAGCGTAAAAATGGTACGTTGTATCGATAGCTCTAAAGCCCATCTCTCGTGCTCGTGTAATGGCTCATGACATTTTGAACTAGCTGTACTTGGTACTTTATACGTTGTAAAAGATATTTAATTATTGAAATCTCCAAAATAACGGCCGGCACATGTTCAATTGGTATAAATTATAAACGTTATAAATCAATAAGTTCAGCTGTAAGTAGAAAAGGAGGAAATAAATGCCAGTTTATTACGAGAGCCGATATTTTGCGTTGACGCTCAAATGAATAATTTTCTTTCATCGTTTCCACTCCGTTTATGACCAGGAAACGGGAGATAATCACGGGTCTCTCCTCTTGATCTCGAAATGAATTCCGAATTCGTTACTTTTTCGTGTCCTTTATATGCGGGACTTTTTTGCCAACGTTGCCGTCGCACAAAAACGTTTTACTTCCGAGAACTCGTATACGTAATATAGCAGGCACATAAAGCTCAGTCAATAATACGGAAACTGCATAAAACTCGAGATATTAGGTGAGTATTATGTCGTTGGTGGGCTAGAAATGTGTGCTATTCGGTTTTCAAACAATGGAGCTTGACACCGAACAATATGAACAGTGACCCTTTTATACTGGGCATAATTTAGAGGGTTCAGTTTTTCAATACTTCTTTGGTAATACTAAAATTGGTAAAACAGAAGGTTTGCAAAGTGAAATAGGGTGGCTAACTTCTTCTATTTAAATAAAACACATTTAAACTTTCCTAGCAGTTATGCCTGAGTTAGAGAAAAATCGAGTTAAAGAAAATTTCTTAACTTTTTTTTGAAAAACATCGCTTTTATGTATACTATTTCTGTCATGTCTACCGCTAATAACTCATATAATTTCAGAGCACGTTGCCATACAATATAAATACTTCCTTCGTGTTGTCTTTTCCTACATTATCTTATGATTGTAAGCTCACCGCTTTTTTGCTGTTTTTCATAATATAATGTTGTGTGCCTCAGTAAAAATTTAAAGCTTGAGCTTTTGATTATCGCTCATCAACATTAACTGGTTGGACACGTACCTCCACTCTTTCCTATCCTGAGCTAAACTTCGCATTTCCCTAAAACTAGAACATCCCATATCCGTAACTATTTGCGAACAGTAATCTAATCTAGGTCTACCTCTACCCCTCCTAACTCTTGTTTCTGCCTCTAATATGTCTCTTGACTAGACCTTCATGCCTAAGAAGGTGTCCTACCAACCTATCTCGCCTATTTTTTATTGACTTCCATAGAGTCATCTGTTCTCCTATTCTTTCCAATACCTCTTCATTTCTAACCTTTTCTACCCACGATATCCTCATAATCCGCCTGTAACACTACATTTCGAACGTTGCTAACCTTTTCTTTTCCGTCGCGCCCACTGTCCATGTTTCGCACCCGTACAATGCCGTGCTCCAAACATATAAGTACCTTTAACAACCTTTTTCGAATTTCTAAGTTAACCGTTCTTTTTATTAAAGGCGACACGACCCTGCGCTATCCTCTGCTTTATATCCCTACTATCGCTGCGGTTGATTTTTCCGAAGAAAATCAATAGAAATTCGAGTTAAAGGGACAATTTGTAATATAAAATTCGCACTTGATTCTCCAATTAGAGAAATTAGGAAATTAGAGTTTAACTTTTTAGAAAGAAAGTAAAAATTTTTGAGTTGTAGAAGTTTTGGCTACAAAATTATTTCAGATCACATTGATATACAATATAAAAGCTTCGTTCGTGTTGCCTTTTTCTACCATAATCTTATGATCCTAGTCTAACCGCCTTTTTATTGTTTTTCATAGTATAATATTAGATGCTTCAACGAAAATTTAAAGCTTGAGGTATTCATTATCGCTGCGGTTGATTTTTCCGAAGAAAATCAATAGAAATTCGAGTTAAGGGGCTGCAGAAGTTCGATTGTAATTTGTAATGTATAAAAAGAATGTTTATGAATGGCTATATTTTGTTCCCATTTATTTAGAATATTGGATATTGGAAATATCTTTACTTAAGATTTCTTTTATGGCTTGGTATAACTGAACTTTTCGTAGTCTGTGTCGTGATTCTGTGATTAAGCAAAAGAAAAGATCAGAGGAAAGGGTAGGTACATTAGGACAATTTTTTAGTATTACAATTGACAAACAATTTTTAGTACATTTAATTTGAAGTAGGTACTTATACGTTGCAATTTTCTCACAGGTTTTGTGAAGTCATTAACTAAGCTTTTATGGTCCTTTTACGGTCTTAAGGTTTCATGATTTTATGAGATTTTCATAAAAAGGCATTAATCGCCTTCCCTTAAAGTGCTTGCGTGTTTCTCTATTACAACGAAATGTGATTTTAACTATCTTCATAAAAATTCGTGCATTATTTATATATTATGCATATGGAAAAACTGAAAGCAACTTGAGGGTATATACAGGGTGGATTGATTTTTTTGTATTTATCTGACTTTAAAAATAGTATAATGATATGTATTATTTCAACTAGTAATTTCCTTGCTTATACGCATATATATCATAAATTTGTTGCTGTAACTTTTTACAACTACAACTATAACGTCCCATATTCCTAATGTACATTTCTTCTATTTGTAATACGTCTGACTAGGATCCTATCTCTTCTTTTCCTTATTGATTTTCATACGTCTGTTATTTCTTTTCATAAACGTAAGTAATTGCTATTGCTATCGTTAAATCTTCCAAAGTTCGTAGTTTTATAATTGAGCATTGCATGTCTCTAAAGGGTGTAGGATACTGATTAACGAGGGTGGAATACAATAACACATAGAAAGATACATTATCGATAATTAGGTGTAAACTGTCGTCGAATCCGTTGTTAAGTTGTTATCACTGGTATGATTTTCGAAGGACAGAATTGTAAATAGGTGTATCAATAGGTACTAAAGAGAGGTAGGCACCTACGTTAAGTAGTCATTACAGTAACAGAGTACTTACTCTACTACGCGATTTCATGTTGAGCTTCATGACAATACAGGCCATTATGTGTAGATATTATGTATGTGAATTGGTGTGTGTATGTGTGTGTGAGAGAAGAAGTCACGAACTATAGTGTGGGTGCAGAGATAGTGTGCGACTCCAACCGGTTTATACGGTGGCAATAAACTAAAAATGGGGCAACAAAACCTTTTGTTTCACTTTTGCACGCCATATGCATTTTCTTTTCATGATCAGACGAATGCTTAGTAAGTACACAAGTACGTATGCATATGTAAGTGTTTATTGTCTATATGTGTGCAATGTATGTGTAGAGGTCGTTCAGCATGTCATGAACCTTGGCCTTGGGACAAAACTCCACCCACTTCGTACAGTTTATCTGCAGCTCCATCCCTGGTAATATAGTGAGACAAATGATTAATAGCCGATTCAATATTTTTATAATCCACCCATCGTAAGGCTCGCCTCTGGCGCATGCAAAGGCTCATGAGATTTGAAAGTAGCTGTAGGCACTATTGTGGTGTCTTGGATGCTACAGGGTGTTCTAGAGTTATAGGACTTAAAATTTGATAGATGAATAAGTTCTTGGTCAAAACTTTGCCTATTTATTGACAGGCACCTTTGTGCTGTCTTGATAATAATGCGTGTTGTTGGACCGAGGTTACTAGATCGATCGACCATATGTAAGTGTTTATTGTCTAAATGTGTGCAATGTATGTGTAGAGGTCGTTTAGAATGTCATGAACCTTGGCCTTGTGACAAAACTCCACCCACTGCGTACAGTTTATCTGCAGCTCCATCCCTGGTTAAATAGTGAGACAAATGATTAATAGCCCAGTCAATATTTTTATAATGCACTCATGGTAGGATCCGCGTTTGGCGAATGTGAAGGCTCATGAGATTTG